TACTCTGTAGAAACATCTGTATTCTGCTCTGCAGAAACATCTGTATTATACTCTGTAGAAACATCTGTATTCTGCTCTGCAGAAACATCTGTATTCTGCTCTGCAGAAACATCTGTATTCTGCTCTGCAGAAACATCTCTATTATACTCTGTAGAAACATCTGTATTCTGCTCTGCACAAACATCTGTATTCTGCTCTGCAGAAACATCTGTATTCTGCTCTGCACAAACATCTGTATTCTGCTCTGAGGGCAGCAGGAGTTCCACAGACATCTGGAGCTTCTTGTTGCTGCTGGGGGGGGGCAAAAGCAAAATCATGGACTTGAGCATGGACTTTGGTGTTTTGGACCAGTTAGACATGGCTGGCGGGCACCAGAGACCATCTTAGCACAAATAACAAGTTTTTTCCTCTTTGGAGTCAGCTGTTGGGGGAGAATCGGTTTTGTTTGGTGTTTCCTCAGACTGATGAAGCTTTCTGGATGGAGGGCGAAACGTCTCAGCACAAAAACAACAAAAAAGAAACCGTCCAGACGACCTGACTGAACATTGTTGGATTTTATACCTGGATTACTGAGCATGAACTTCGATATAGCAAAAGGTTCCTAAATATAAAAACAACAACTGTTTGAGTGCAGGGCAGAAACTTCCTGTGTTTAGCTCCGTGACGTCTCCCACGTGGCACCGTCTCCGTATAAAACCAGACTCGCAGCACCGTGTTATGAAAGGGGCTCCATTTTCCACGCCCCGTGAGATTCTCCGGTGCCTCCGGTACTTTACCATCTTAACTAGAAGGGAGGAGGGTGAAGGAGAGACGCCGCCTAGAAGAGGAAGAAAGGACGGAAGGGCCGAGGCTAAAGTTAGCTGATAAATCCAGAGGACTAAAGACCAAACCACCAGCTGTCACTGAATTTAAACCACAGCCATGAGGATTCCTGAAATGTTACTGTGCTGGTCCAAACCACCCAACGGCTGTGGAGGATTTTGTCAACCGGGGGCTCACAAAGCTCAGACATGTCCGAGCCACCGGAGCGGAAAGAGGTTTTTCCTCTGACCCGGATCCTCCAACCTTCAGGGCAAAAACCCAATTAATGATCAGACAAGATGTGGAGGAAAAGAAAGGAGCAGATTGATGTACAGGAAATAATTCACACAAACACGGTGTATTTGATGTACGGTGTGGATTCTTACAGGGGAAATAAACAGCCCCAATGTGTTTAGGTACAGTATAATCGCTGGTATCTGCTACAGCAAACAGCTATTCTCGATTATATTTTACTTTTTAAACATTTGACTTTAAAAACTGATCAAATAAACCAACTCTGTTAGTTGTGCTCCAAAACTGAGTCTAAAACCAACAAGCGTTTTCGCCCACGTCTGTACATATGTTTGTTTGTTAGCAAAATATTTCACGAACCACAGGATGACTTTTAATTAAACTCCAAATCACGAGATGTACAACACGACCCAATTCAAGATGGCTGCCACAGCTAATCAGTGGCTGTAATTCAGTTCATCTTTGTGATTACGCTAAAACTTGGTGTGGCAGTAGCTGAGAGTCATTCCCAACATGAGCTCTGAGTGCTACCTGATCATGTGAGATCTTTGTTGGAGCTGTTAGCAAAATATCTCATGTACCGCTGGACAGATTTCAACGAAAAAGCGAACCAATCTGAGCCGACGCGAAACAACTCCTTTAATTTTCAAACGTTGATGCGGTCGTTGTCGTTAGCGACCGGTACACGAGCGCTGACACGTTTGACCCAAACATCCACGACACTTTATTTCTTAAATACAAAGTTTTATTTGTTTGTATATTTGTGCAAATATTTTCCAGTCATTCACACTTTGGGGTCCATTCGGTGTTTTGTGACTCGTTCGGCTCATTCAGAATATTCCTCATTTGACCAGTTTGACACGACTGTCAACGAGGAAGAGGGCCGGCAATGGAGGAGGGGGCGTGACAAACACGCTTAGCACCAACATAACTGGTTTGTTCCACTTTGGAGTAAGCTGTTGGGGGAAGAATCAGTTTTGTTGTGTTTCCTTGACTGATGAAGCCTTCTGGATGGAAGGTGAAATGTTTCAGCACCTAAAAAGAAACTGTCCAGATGACCTGACTGAAAAACGTTGGATTGTACACCTGGATTATTGAGCGTGGTCTTTGTTGATTCCTGATTTGACTTTTGGTGTTTGTGCAACTTCAACTTTTTGAAATACGTAGCTTTTTCAGCCATCTTTGTAAATGAACGGAGCTCTTCATCCTTCAAACTCTTTGTGTCGTTTCAAACCTTTTCCTGCTCGTTTCAGATTTTTGTTCAGCTTTTTCAGCTGTCTTTTGTTTTTCTGTTTTATTTTGTTAGTTTTTCCCTTTTGTTGATTCGTTTGAAATGTTTTAGGGGATTTTTTCTGCTCATTTCAGTTGTTTTAATAAATCTGCTCGTCCTCTCTCTGCTTATTCTGCTCAATTCAGATTTTTCCACACGTTTTTTTTCTTCTGCTGCTTTCAGCGAATGTCGGCTGGTAAACTTGCATTAATAGATCAGCTGTAAAAACTTTTCAGCCTGATTTCGACGTCTTCAGCAGCTTTCAGCAAAAATCATTGCGTTTCCACAGGAATTTGTGTAGTTTGTATCTGGATGCTTTGCTGCTAACTCCAGCTGTGCACACACGGCTGTTTTCAGAATGCTAAGCTAAGCGAGCACATGTTCACTACGTAGCTCAAAACTTACATCACATTTTACAATAACTGTGTTCTGTTTCTGTGATTTCACGTCACACGACGACTCACTGCCTTTCACTCCACTCCTGTCGCTAACTGCTCTGAGGACGGACATTTTGTTTCCACTAATCACCACTTAGATCTGCGTTCGCTCTATAATCGGTAGCAGCTGCTGTTTCCCTCCGCGTCCTTGTGACAAGTTAATGGGTGTCTTCCAGTGACTCACGCTACGTGGCTAAACACCAGCTAGCAGACAGGAAGTACCCCAAAAAAAGCCCTGCTCCTGCAGCAAGCCAACAATAATTAAATGGACGACTAAAGACGAGGACACAGGAGCAGACATGAGAGAAAGTTCAGCGGTAAAGCACAACGTGCGGTAGTTTGTGTTTACATCACACTTCAGCTCCTCAAACTTAATTTAGCTAATAAACCTGTAGGAATGCACATCCACCGCTGCCTTGAAGGCCTCACACGATCTGTTAGCACTCAAAGTATGAGTTGGGGATGACTCGTAACTACTACCGCACCAAGTTATAGCTCAAAACCTGGAAAAACGACAGAGTTTTAGCCATTTTGGGACTAAGGTTGCAGTGGCAGCCATCTTGAACCAGGTTGAATCCAAAAGTTATGAAGTTATTGATGTACACTATATCCAACAATTTCACGTTGATAGTGGTGAAAGTGAAAACAAATTAATAAAAATTACTTTTCAATAGATTTTTTTTTTCTTTCCCTTAACTGTAGTTTTAATGTAATTTGGAGCGAAATGGGGAAATGGAAATTCCCTTTGTCCGTTAGTCCTTTCGGGTCGTGAGCTAGATAACTTGAAGAATAAATGAAGTACCAACTTCCATTTTGGTACGTGGCTGCATCTACGTGTAAGAAAGGTCACTATCAATAATCGATATGCCACAGTAAAATCCAAGATGGCCACCACCATTTATATATTTATTTGTTAATAGTTTGAGGAAACTAGTTTTCTAGTTTTTATGTTGCTTAAACATAAAGTTCATTCAAATGATTGGGGTGGTCGGTGGGGTGGCCAAATCTTAAGTTGGCTAAGGCCACCAATGGCCACCCCCTGGCGCCACCTCTGGTTGTGGATAAAATTGCTTGAATTTCATTTCCTGTTCTGTTCAAATCCTTCAAAGACATCGGCGTGCCGCTTGTTTTTATTTGCTTTATGTGGAATTTTTCTCTCAGCTTATGACAGCAGCTTAATCCAGCAGAGAACGAGCAAATGTACTAAATGACATAGAGTATTAGCACAGGTTACATCAGTACAGGATTATACAGGATCTCATTATTCTTCGTGTTCTCGAGAATAAAAGTAACCAAACTCTGGCGTGTTTGGGTCCTATGAGAACCTCCAGATTAAGGATTAAGAAAAACCCAATTATCCCTCTCACTAACACCCTCTTTAACGACTTCTCTCCTTCCTTTCAGCAAAATGTTTTAGGCGGCGACTTCTTCAACAAAGTTTGTGGTCATCTGAAACTGCTGGAAAAGGAGTACTTTGGACTGGAGTTCAGACACCACAGTGGCCATTATGTAAGAAATACACACTATTGAAACATTAATATTTTACATGGTCTTTAAATGTGTTTATGTTACAGGTTTGGTTGGAGCTGCTTAAACCTCTAGTCAAACAGATCAAATGTGAGTAATTTTCTCATCTTGTTTAAAATTACAGAGGACAACAAGAGGGTAAATGAACATTTATCAGACTGCTAGGGGGAGAGAAATCAAACTAAGAGCTAGTTTCTATTTATATGAGAACACGTAGGACTGCAAAACTGTTTCACATTCAAAATACCCATTAAAATTATTTATTTTTAACACGATGTCCAAAACCAGGACCTGCTTTTTGTAACATAAATTGTTACCTACATTAAAACCATTTTGATATAATTATATTTAATCTCAGAAAAAGACCTAAACAACATATTCACTGCATTATATACTCAAGGTCCCCTTAATATTAAATAATTGGAAAGTAGCAAGATCTTCCATTATAAAATCAACATGGTAGTCGTTATTTGGTTTGACGAGGATTTTAAAAACGTCATAACTTTCTGTGTCAGCATTGTGTGCGTTTTGGCAATGCAACCTTAAAGGTACTTATATATATATACATATATACATATATATATATAGTTGTTAATTGTTAGGCTTCTTGATCTGGGACCTGAGTCCGAATTTCATACCATAAGCATGCAAATGTGAGCTGGTATGACAATAAAAAAGTCCTTAAATCCTTCCTTCAAGCCATGAAATCAAGCATTAAAAGGTAATTGTGATAATCTCATATCCTATAACAAATGGTGCAGTTTGAAAGTGTTAACTCAAATAGTTTTCAAGATACAGTATATTGATCTGCAGCTCTGAAGTGAGGGAGTGCAGCCAATGTAAACAAAACACTCAGCTGAATCTGAGGAAAGAAGCTCATCTGCATACTTTAATAAAAATCTGAGCATCAATATGTACCAGTCATGGGTGTCGCATTAATTATATGTGACGGGGACGTGTTCCCCTCACATTTAAAAAATATTAATTTGGACACTCCCCACATTTACCATGAAATATTAGTTCACCCAGAGCTGTTTCTTTCTTCGTGAACAAATCCATTCCACTTGATTAATAGGAGAATACTCAAACCACTAAAAGTCCGCTCCGGTTTTCCTGGGTACCGATAACAACACACCACGCCACATGCAGCGTTTCCCTGAGGTCACCAACATTGGCAGGGTGCTCATCTCTCCGGGGTTTTTTGTCGACGGGGCTGAGTGAGGATGGGGAGACACTGCTGTGTAGCACGCTAGCTTAGCGCTATGTTAGTGTCTTGGAGGGGAGGGGGGCAGGTGTTAGGATGCTTGAGAGAAGCGGAGCGTGTTCTATTCACACAAGGAGAGCTGTTGGTCAGGCTACTTCTTGTGCCGTGCTCTATAAAATAGTCATTGAATCAAGTGTTTACATACTGTATGAAGGTAAACAGAGATGTTTAACAACCTGTTAAAATACACCAGAATGCAGGAAATGGCATCTACTTCATTCAAAATCTTCTGGGGGAGGACCCCAGACTCCCACACCATTGTGTCGTCCTCCCCCACACATTACAAATACTTCTGACGTCAATGGTACCAGTACATCAAAAATGTCTGACTTCCAAATCCTAAATGTCTCTTCCATTGACGTCCCCATTGTTGACGTATTCTCAGTCACGTCAGCTGTTTCCATAGTTGAACAAACTCACCTAGTCGTTGCCAGCGGTTCACACATTTTCTTTATAAATTGCTAATTTAAGAACACATTATTGGAGAGCTGATAAAAATGGAGTTGATTTTTTTTTCATTTATTAATTTAGTTTTTTGATTAGTCTTCTTGACATTACAATGAGAAACTTTGGTCATGGTCATTTTACACATTTCAGTGAATTTAGGTCTAAAATCAAATCACAGGAGCTATAGAATAGTCCAGTACAGATTTAGACCTAAATTATTATTCCATGCCACTTCAGTTCCAAATTTACTGGAATCAGTTTGAAGCCTTTTCCCTCCCTAAGTTAGCTAAATAACATGCTAACACTCTAGCATGCTAACAGGCGTGCTTGTTAACATATCTTTATTTAATAGACATAAAATGTCAGAACGCTTGAACAACGTGGGGAAGTTACAAGCAAACACATAAATGAAAATATAATTAAATAATAATGTAATAACGTCGTTACATTCCACGCAGTTAGCCAAAATGAAGCAGTTAGCTTCCTAGCTACAGCGTTTGGCATTTTCTGCTTAGACGTTTATCAGAAATTAAATGCTAAAAGTTTGGGTTTATTCACAGCATACATGGTTGTTATAGGGTAAAATCTAAAATGTTGTACGTTTTTATGACTTTATTTTATGTATTTTAACTTTTTAAAGTTAAAAACTAGTTAAGGGAGTTAAATCGTTTCTTCCTTTTTGCCCCTTTTCCTTTCGTCAGACACTAGTGATTTATTCTTTAGGTTTATAGTCAAGTTCTTCCCACCCGATCCCGGACAATTAAAGAGAGGCCTCACCAGGTAAAATCTAAATTTGTTTCAGTCTTTCAATATAAATTTAAAACTTTTTTGGTCTGAGTCGTCGTGCATCTAAATAGCATTATTGTTCTACTGTATATGTAATCATGAATATCAGCCCTACAAAAAGGACAAACGCAGAATGTAGCGTTAATTCTTTGTGACTGTTGTGTACGTGCAGGTACCTTTTTGCCTTACAGATAAAGCAGGATTTATCCAACGGCAGTCTGACGTGTAACGACAACAGCGCCGCCCTGCTGGTCTCACACATACTACAGTGTAAGCATAAAAAATAAAAAAAACGCACAAATAATCATCTGACATGCAGTTGGGTAGCATGATACAATCCAGAATTTCCCTGGTACTTACTGAGTACCTAACTAGTACTACTGAGCATGTACCTGATACTACAGTGTATGTATCCAGTATGTGCCCAGGATACATATCCTGTAAGTATAGGTCAGCCAGTCACTTCATAATACAGTCTGGTCCCTGTAGGTACCCTGTAAATACCAGATACCCAGTAGGTATCAGTTAGATAGCCGGTTTACCAGTTACATGGAAGGTACTTACATGTATTAGGTATGTAGCCGGTGTGTACCAGTTACGTTTCCATAGGTACCAAGTCTGTATCCAAGGTTATTTACCCATATTTACCAGATATGTACTCTGTAAATACCAGTTATGTACCCAGTAAGTACTAAGAGTGTACTCTTTAAGTACCAGTTATGTACCTAAAGCTATCAGATACATAGACAGCCCATGATAGTTACCATAGGTACCTGGTAAGGATATGCACCAGTTACTGTATGTACTCTTAGGTACCAGGTATGCACTCTCCTAATACATGTTAGGGACCCAGTTAAGTACCCAGTAAGGGTACATACCAATTACCTACCCAGACGTTTTAGGAATGCACCTTGTAGGTACCAAGTAACTATCCCATAAGTTCTTGATAAGTACCAGGTATGTCCCTAGTACATACCTGGATATAGTATGCATTGTTATTAAGATTTGCACATAGTCCCACATGTTTTTTTAAAGTTTTAAACATGTTCAGTTATCAAATGAGAAAATATATTTTAGAATGAGAGAAAATATTTGTCTGTGTGTTTGTGTTACAGCAGAGCTAGGCGACTACGATGAGGAGTTGGACTATCAACATTTGGAGATGAAGCACTATGTTCCCAATCAGGAGTATTTGGACAATAAAATCATCAAATTTCATAAAAGACACAGGTATGAAATGAACGTGTTACATCTGTTATAAGATTAGAAAGCATAAGATTACTTTTTTGCAATCAGCCTTTAAAAGTCAAAAAGTTTGTGTTCCAAACCAGTGACATCCTTGTGGTCTACTGGTTATAGACCTGCCATTTGATTGTGTCATCTTTGTGTTTCTTTCCACAGAGGAGTCTCTCCAGCAGACTCGGACATCCAGCTGCTGGAGGTGGCCCGGAAGCTAGACATGTACGGCATCAGGCCTCATGCTGCCCACGATGGTGAGGGAATGAGGATCAACCTTGCCGTCACTCACTCTGGAGTACTGGTCTTTCAGGTATACGCTTAACGATTTTTAACGTGCGTAGACATACATGGAAAATGACAACATTTTGATCTGCAGAAAAATTAACTGAACTCAGATTTGCTTCACGGAGTGACTTTAAGACAATATGTTGGGGAAAAAAAATTCTTGATCATAGTCTTGATTTAGTTAAAAAAACGTACAAACATTAAGGTTCTATCTATATTAATATAAATTTTAAAAACCTTTTAGCCACGATTTTAACAAATTGCTGAAAATCCATGCCACGCCACTAGGTGGCAGTAGTGTTCACATTAACAACATATCAGTACAAAGGAAGAATGCTGTTAACTTGGCTAAACGTTTTCCAAATTTTAGCTCAGTTTATTTCCTTCTTTGGCACAATTTACAATTTCCTCTCAGTTATGAACTTTTTCAGCACAGAACTGTAATTTAATGTTGACAAAATCAAGATAAAGTAAGAGATTTTTTTTTTAAAGTCAGTAAAACTGCTTCATTGTTGTTTTGGTTTCTAGGGAACAAAGTGGTATAGGCATGTGAAAAAAAAACGTTGATAGGTTATTATTTTCACAAAAGCTTCATATTTCCAGTCCACATGAATACAACAAAAATGGTACTTTTAAAAATGTCTACTTTGGAAAGCATTTTCAAAAGTCTAAAATCTGTGAATTGGCCTGTTTATATTAAATTGGTAAATATTCAAAACTTTGGCGATCAAGAATTTCTACGTAATAAAATACTTTTTTCCACACTATTCAAGTTTGTAACATCTTGAACTTTTTGTGCTGTGAGGATTTATTCATGCATTGTTTCCATTTTGTGTGGGTTTTCAGGGAAACACCAAAATCAACACGTTCAGCTGGGCAAAGATCCGCAAACTCAGCTTCAAACGCAAGCACTTCCTTATTAAGCTTTACGACAAAGTTGGGGTAAATAGTTTTTTCATAGTTAAATTTTTGCCACTTGAACAATAGTTTAAAAGCCAGCTATAAGTAAACCTAAATATGAAAATAATATATGTAAAGGATATTTTAGATGGACAGTGAGCAACGACACTGTTTGAAGTGTCACTTCCTGTCCTTTCAGCCATCGTGTAAGGATACGTTGGAGTTCGCCATGGCGAGTCGTGATGTCTGTAAATCTTTGTGGAAGACGTGTGTGGAGTATCACGCCTTCTTCAAGCTGTCCGAGGAACCAAAGCCCGTCCATAAAACTCTGCTGTCCTGTAAGGGATCCACGTTCAGATACAGGTCAAACTCTCTTCCCGTAATGTTCACTTATAAATGACTACAACAGTGATAGCTATTTCTTACCAAAACCTGAATTTGAGGAATGTTTTTAAAAGGTTGAACTTCCCATAGATAATATAGATTTACATCATATCTGTGATGTATTTTTCTACTGAATAAATTTGATTATTTTTCCGCAGAGGTTGTATTTCCATTGTTTCCTCTGTATTGAATTTTCACATTTGATAATGGATAGTTTTTATAATTTTGCTCTGCTGTGCAGTGGAAGGACCCAGAAACAGCTGCTGGAGTGTATGGGATCAGGAGAAAAGAAGCCTTTACAGTTTGAACGGTGAGAATGGATTTTACCAGTGAGTTTGGCAAAACCAAACTGCGGAGGAATGCAGACATAACCCAACGATGTCACCAAATAAAAAAGGAGCATTGCAGTATGACACCAAGGACACTAAAGGGACTCAAATGCCAACTAAAAATGTTTAAATTTCACATATTTTTTTCTTTTCACCAAAAGAGTTTTCATTGCTCACAGAGAACACGGTGATTTGCAGAGAGAGTAGGGAGCAGGTGGAAGAGAGTCTGGAGAGGTGGAGGTGTGCTCTGGAGAGAAAAAGAATGAAACTGTAGAAACAAAACAAAAGCAGGGATGGTGGATTTATTGGGAAAATGATGTTGAATATGGAGCTGTTAGAGAGGGGAAAACAAGGAGAGGAGGTTCATAGATGTCGTGGAGGAGAACCTGTAGATGGTTGGTGTGACGGGAGGAAGATGTTAGGGATGCAGCAAGATGGAGGCAGATGATCTGACACTTGGGATCTGACAGTTATTTGAATACCAGGATTTTGGTCATTAATTAAATATTCATTTGTGATGTTTATTTCCTTCTTCTTTTTCTGTGTAGGACCTACCGCCAGTCAGACTTCGATCCCAGACAATGTCGATCTTCTCCTGACCTCCTCACTGACGTCTCCAAACAGGTAAACAGAAATAACACACAGACTTTACAATCATTCCTGGACCTTCAAGGCTTCAGACGCAGAATCACAAATTTTATATTGGTAGGAAATTACCAGATAGTCGTTTTGAGAAGTAAAATTATGTTTGAGTACATTTTCCTATGAAAAAATAGATAAATATCAGAATGTGCCAAGTTCTCAAGTGCAAGGCTTGATTTTGTGTTTAATAAAAGTTCAATACGTTGGGATTTCATCGGCTGTATGAGGATTCAGTGACAGGAACATCATCACTGTTCTCTGAAGCATATGAAGGATAATACTGGCACGTTGGATCAGACAATTGGACAACCTTTTTGAAATTCGGCAAGATGTTTCTCTTCTTGTCCAAGAAGTTTCCTCATCTTCCTGAATCAAAAATGAAGTCCACTTGTCTTTAATTCAACTTGCCAGGACTACCACATCATGAATCTACACCAGCTCATAAACAACAACAATAACTGGCAGATAATTTAAAGGATAAACAATAATTTCATGTTTTACCTCCTCAGTTATATGAACAATCCCTCCCGTTTCCCCGGCCGAGACAAACTATTGCCGTCCACAGTCAGGACAAAATGGACCGCCAGCGCCGAGGTCTCAGTGACACTGAAATGGAAGGAGGGCTTAAACGCAGACAGTTGTCTTGTCACGTCAACCAAAGGCCGCAACCCCTGGCACAAGTCACTCCACTTTCTCCATCCCTGGGACAGTCGACCCCCTCGCCCAAGTTACGATCTTCCTCCACATCCTTGATGGAGGACATGAGAGGGGGACGGAACGGGGCGCAGCGCCAAGCCCAAAGGCTAGCTGGTGTCTACGGCAACCGGTCAAAACGCCGACCGAACCCACAGCCGCATCCGGACGCTTTACAGCAGCTGGTTCTTCTCTACCCCAACACCCCAGCTTACCAGTATCACCCTGTTCTCCCATCATTCCCGTTTGCCGGACCCTCACCGCTCACCAGACATCCCTACTTAGCAGACTACGTCAGCGTTTCTTCGCTGGAGCGTTTACCTCACGTAAGGAGGCGGGACTTTGTGCCGATGGACAGCATCTCACAGCCGGCCTTCTACCCGATAGGCCACGATTCGCCATCAGTCTCACCAATCAGGAGGAACTTCCGCCCTTGTGGTTCAGGCGGACTGGGGCTGGCAAAGGTCTACCAGACAGGTAGCAACGGAGCGAGGCTTTTAGGTGTTGGACACACGGAGGCGGGACATTACAGCGACGACTCCAACTTCCTGCCCGGGTTGCCTCGTCGTGTGGCAAGCCAACCAGATGTCAAGTTCCACCTCTCGAGGAGTACAAACCCGACCTTTAACCCTGCCTCTGAGTTCCGACCCCTTGGGTACTACCCTCACCTGACGCGCCCCTCCCGACCCACATACCTCCCGCTGAACTCCTCCCCTCTACCTGAACGCCCCACTTCAGTATGTATGATCGGCGGGGCTATGGGAAGCTACAGCGACTCTGATCCGGAGGTTTTCTACCCGTACTACTGCCCACCTCATCATCTGGGGAAAGTCGTACGGCCCGCCGGGTTGGCCCGGATGAGGTTTTCCTCCGGAAGCCTTCAACTGGATGAGGAGGAAGAGGGGGAAGAGGAAGCTGTTAAAAAAGACATAAAAGGTGAACAGGACAAGAAACAAACAAGCGGAGGAGGAGAGGAGGCAAGAGGAGCAGCAAAGATTACTCAAGTCACACTTTAGATCCAAAACAGCAAGTTTACGATGTGACGGATTGTACTGCCAACTGTAAATAAAACAGGAAATGTGATCAATGTTTGTGAAATAAATGCACTGTTGCCTTGTTTAAGTGAAAAGTTTCTTTAAAATGATGTTTTGTAACCTGTTTTGGTTTTATTCTTAGATAATTTAAAGAAGTTATGTATTCAATGATACCTCATGGACATTTTTTGTTTACTGGCTTACAACAATAAATGTTCATTATAACAAAATTAAGGTTTACATGTTGATTGTCAGCTTTATTGTCAGAGAATTAAGTGCCAAATTGGGTATATTAGGAACTCTAAGATGCTTTTTATTAGTAGCTAAATTATAGTTGAACAAATTCTTATTGTGTATAAAATAACCACTTTTAAAACAAAGAATGTCTGCATCCTGGAGCTGTAACCTTCACCAGCGCTTTGAAACATTTTATATGCTGTAAAGTCAAGTCAACTTTATTAATAAAGCACATTTTAAACAGCAGCTGTTACCAAACTGCTTAACAATAAAAATCAATGGGAGTAATTCAATGAGAAAAAATAAATAATAAAACCGAAAATAAATTAAAAGCATCAATAGAAAAACATTAAGAATGCAGAACAATAAAATACTAAATGTGTTAAACGTCAGTGAAAACAGGTGTTTTTTTAAGAGATTTAAAAACAGGAAGTGAAGTGGCCTGTCTAATGTTGGGGGCAGATGGTTCCAAAGTTTGAGGCCCACGACTGAAAAAGCCAGATCTCCTCTGAGCTTCAACCAAAAGCAGCTGATCAGATGATCTCAGGGCCCGAGAAGGAACAGAAGGTTGAAGTAGGTCAGATAGATACGAGGGTGCAAGGTCATTTAGGAACTTAAAGGTCAACAGGAGAATTTTTAAATCAGTTCTGATACGAGGGGCGGCAACTGGTAGAGCTGCTGCCTCTCAGCGAACAGGTTACCCTGGTTCAAATCCTGGTCCAGGGGCCTTTCTGAGTGGAGTTTGCGTGTTCTCTCTGTGCGTGCTTGGGTTTTCTCTGGGTACCCCCGTTTCCTCCCACAGACCAAAAACATGCATGTTAGGCTGAATGGTAACTCTATATTGTCTCTAGGTGAGAGAGAGAGAGTGAATGGTTGTTTGTCTTGTTTATCTCTATGATGGACTGGAGACCTGTCCAGGGTGACCCCTACCTCTTGCACAGTGATTGTTGGACATGGGCACCAGTGACCTCCATGACCCAAAAAGGAAGAAGTGGTTAAAGACAATGGATGGATGGATGGATGGAATTCTGATGCGTACAGGGAGCTGGTAAAAGGAGGACAAAACTAGTGAGATATGATCAAACCTACGAGTTCCTGTGAAGAGCCGAGCTGCAGCATTTTGGACGAGATGGAGATGCGAAATGGAGACCTGACTGACCCCAGCATAGATAGTCCAGTTGGGTAGAGATAAAAGCATGGACTAGTTTTTCCAGGACGGATCAGGACTACACTGACTTAAGCTTAGATATCTGCCTTAACTGGAAGAAGCTTTTTGTAGAACAGAGTTAATGTGTTTATTAAACTTAAAGTTAGAGTCTAAAACCATCCTGAGCTTTGTAACAGACAGCTTTAGATATGGCTGAAGAGAGTCAAGGTTTACAGGAACAGGGACAGTGGTAGAGCTAGGGCTAAACACAATGACTTCAGTTTTCTGATCATTAAAACTTAGAAAATTTGAAGCCGTTCATGCCTTGATGTCATCAAGACATTTTAACAGAGGGTGAAAGGAGCAAGAACTATTTGGTTTTAGTGGGAGATAAATCTGACAACCATCAGCATAGCAGTGAAAAGAAAGACCGTGTTTCCTCAGGATAGACCCCAAAGGAAGCAGATACAGTGAAAACAGAAGGGGTCCAAGAATCGAGCCCTGCGGAACCCCACAGGAAAGAGACACTGAAGCAGATACACTATTACCAACATTAACACAAAAACTCCTGTCATTCAGACAAGAACAGAGCCATTTTAATGCTGCACCTGTAACCCCAACCCAGTGTACTAACCGTGGTATAAGGATACTGTGGTCAACAGTAAAGCAGCGGTAAGGTCCAGGAGTATAAGCAAAAAAACTAAAACAAACATATTATAGTCAAATAAACTAATATTATTTTAGTAGAGTCACATGTCAGTTTTACCAATAAATCACATGAAACAAAGTGAGTCAATCAAATTTAAATATTTATTCATAAAACTCTAAATCCAGCTACAAAAAATGGTCCGGTACTGTAAAATCTTACATCTGTTGTTTTACAATTCCCCCTTAAACAAACAGTCAAATCCCTTATGATATATAAAAAAACAAACACAATATACAGAGACTAAATCTTATAGCGTCTTTGGTACAAACCATCAGTAAAATGTTTATTTACAGCTCCCAGAATGCTCTTGGATAAAACTACGCTCCTGATATAAAGCGTTACAAATATTAACGCAACAAACAAAGACAACCTAACCAAAGGTTTTTGATGCACGTCGAACAGTTACTTTCCACGGGTCAGGGGAAGGCACATGTGTCTTCCTTCATTCACACAGTTACCAAGTGTTTTCAAAAAAACAACAAAAAAACCACTTATTCCACAAAAAATACAACAATTTCACAGTAAAATTATTCCACAACCCAAAGCCAAAATGGCTGCCAGTACAAGCATCCGTACATTTAGATTCAAGTCAACTGTTAGTTTGATTTTTACTTCCAGAGGCTAAAATAACTAGCTAGCATGCTAGTTAGCAAACTGATAGCTACCTTGCCCAGCTAGTTTGTTAGCTCCCAAAAATGAGTCCAAAACAGGTCAGAACTTTTTTAAATTTAACATATTACAAATGATTCTTTCTGTGAAAACTTGAACATCAAACAGTTTCACAAATTACCAAGTTTGCACAATTTTAAAGAAAGTTTTATTTCACCCCCCCAAAAAAAAAAAAAATGCTGAGTCATCTCCCCTGAGGTCAGGCTAAAACGACCTTCACGGTTTCACCCGGAGAGGTGACGTGACCAGAACAGAAACCTGGATCTGGGAGCTGTAAAGAAAAAGCTCTACTGAAAACACAACATCTTGTATTGTTGGCATTTAATCTGTCTCAAGTGCTACCGAACGTACAGACATTTACAGAAAACAGAACGGAGGCTACTGCTGCCGGTGGACAGGAAACTGATTTACCTTCTTCGTGTGGGGTTTAGACAAAAATCTCTTTGAAAACAGTATTTTTTATTATTTTTTTTAGAAAATTATACAAAAACAAGAAAAAAAACCTTAAGGCACATAATGGCTATTCCAACAATCCAGGCCATTTAATCTAAAACACAACCACACGTCAGATAAACTGTGAGGGGAAAATGTCCTCAACCAGCAGCGGTGACTTTACAAAATATAGTGTATATATTACATTATTAGTGTGTGTGTGTGTGTGGGCGGAGACCTCGCACAGCAAATCTCCTCTGTTTTATCATCCAGCAGCGTCACCGAGCGGAGACACAGTCTCTTCCTAATGTCCTTTTATTCATCCGTCCATTCGTCCTTCAGTTTGTTGTACATCTGCGGTCGGAAAGACACGATTTTTGGTAAACCGTCGTAAAGACACAAGAAACACAGAAATGTACCAACAGAAACCTAAAGGGGTCGTTTCTGTTCCTTCTTTCATAAGACAACTCAAGATTCAAGACCTGTGGCTGCCTCTGTGGGATCAACGACTGGACCGAGGCGGCATGGGGGGTCGAGGCCGACTCGCCCTTTGTGTCATGAAGCGAGGTAGTAACAGAGCCGAAACAGCAACAATGAAAAAAGGTACGTCTGCGCTGGGTGCAATAATGGGATGAAGTGATGACATACGGTCGCAGAAATAAACAACAAAACAAATTTATTACCGAGGGAAGATCGATGAAGACACATCGCATCTTCGTAGTTAGTTTATACGCCCGCCAGCAAACGATTCGACCACAATCTATAGCAATGACCAAGACCTTGTTTTGATTAATTACAGAGAAAATCGTCAAACTGAGCTTCTTCTTGTTTTGAAAACAAACCCAAGGAAGACGTGGTCATACATGTAACGTGCTGCGCTCCACATCAACCCAGCCGAGTTCTGCTCCACGACTCTTTTGGCTCCTTGAGGCTCGCTTCATTCCTGAAAGCTCACGTTTGATAGGAGCCTTTCTCACGCCTGGATGCAGCCACACACCAAAATGGAAGTACCGTATTTTTCAGCCTATGAGTCGCAGTTTTGTGCATAATTGTCACGCCCTGCGACTTTTACGCCAAAGCAACGTATTTATGGATTTTTTTCCCCATATTTATGAACCCATTTTTTTTTCATTCGTTCTGACTGAAAATATTGAACACTACCATTTTCAGCCACTAGATGGCACTCAAGCAGTATGGCATGCCCATGTATCATGTAATAGGAAAAAGTGGCTCTTAATGACACCGTTGGCTTGCCATAGCCTCCCACCGTCGTCTGCCTGGAGCAACCGTCAAATCAGCTTCATTTCTCTGCACCGCCCCGGTGAAATGCAGCTAATTTGACCATTGAAGTGCATTTATTAAGTTTACTTAAATAACTTTACTATAAAGTCGAGCAAACAAATAATCGTTTTTAAGTGTTAATCTTGTTAAATTCTTGTTAAAGTCCTCCCGTGCACGCTCCCGCGGCCGCCATTTGGCAGCCAATCGATTACTGGCACAACACCGGCCCACATTTCTGGGTTGTCAGTGGTGACACATAATAGATGTGACTTATACGGCAAAGCGACATAGTTATGGATTTTTCCACTTTATTAGACATATTTGTACTGATGAGACTTACAGGGCGGTGCGACGTGTACGGCGGAAAATACGGTAAGTACCTTTCTTATTTTTCAAGTGATCCAGCTGACAAGACAGACGATATTTCTAATTCCCCTCTTCGCTCCGTGACGGAGTCCAACTATTGCACGAGTGGCGTCTCATTTTTAGTGGTTTCCCTTGAAACGATGCCAGGCGTTCCCAGAAGCCTGTGCTCTGAGACCTGGATTCAAAAAGTGACGGAGAAAACGACTTCTGTTGTCGTGGGCGCCGATGGCTGACACGCAGCAGAAACTTTGCGGTTTCCCTTAAAAACATTTACGTTACGTTGCGTTAACGGAGCCTGTAAGTGTTGTAACAGTTGTAACAAGTCATGGACCGAGAAAGAGTAGACATCTTAAGAGAAACGTACTTTGGTACCTGGCTATGATGTGCGTGACCATCCTGTCCGTGATGCCTGGACACGCCTCTTCAGCCGATCGGATGTTGCGCTCCAGCTCCTCGATGGCCAGTCGCTGCTCAGAGTGCTCCTTGTGCTGCTGCTTCAACTGCACGTGGAGAAAGAGCTAAACTTGAGTAAACAGTCGTAACTGTTTCATGAACACTTTATCAAAACA